ATAGACATGAGTTCCAGGAAATCCTGACTGGAGTAAAGACGTCAGCACCTGAGATTAACATGTATATATATACATTAAAGCATATGTATGTACGGCCCAGAGTAAGACTTTCTGTTTTTTCCAAACATAAAGTCTTGTTCTAGTCTTGGTGAAGTGCTCCTCATTATTCTGCTACATGATGTTAACTTCAGCTCATGTAATTTTTAGAGTTATCTGGACTTCCTGGAACTCATGTCTATTTTGGGATCATGTAAACCCACACGGGTACAAACAGGTGCTCTAGTTCATTTAGTGTGGCTGATTTTTTTATGTTCTTTAAGTCGTGCTGCGTGTGTGAGGACTTATTCTGACTGTTCACACAGAACTCACAGTTCTGTTCAGGTTAGTTTATCTCGTCACAGTGATTGATTGAAAGCTCCTCGGGGACAATCTGATAGTCTCGGGCAGATTATGAGTCCACTGATATCAGTAGCTACATGAACAGTTTTAATGTGTGTGTGTATGTGTGTGTTCAGGTTCAGGCCACGGTTGTGGGCTTCCTGGCCTCCATAGCTGCTGTGATCTTTGGCTGGCTTCCAGAGGGACAGTTCAGACTGGGCCACGCCGTGCTGCTCTGCGCCTCCAGCGTGGCCACTGCCTTCATCGCCTCTTTGCTCCTGGGTACGCTCACCGTACAGGAAGTGTGTCATGATCAGAGCGAAGAGCCGCTCGTTAGGTGTGTCGGGGTTTATCAGTGCTCACTACGAGGGCTAAAGGTCAACCTGATTTACACCAACAAGTCTCTGTTCAACCTGAAGCAGCACAAGCCTAAAGACAGCATGTAAATCAAAACTGAGATGGTTTCCATCTTAAAAACACATTTTCAACTAACATACTTTAGTGTTCAGGATTTTGAAAAGTTCTTTGTATTTTGCTCCATCCATCTTTTTTGTATCTCTGACCTGTTTCCCAGTCCCGCTGATGGAAAACATCCTCATAGCATGATGTTGCCACCAACAGAAAGTCAAGTTTTCATCCTTCTTCCACATGTTTGGAGAGTCTCTAGTAGGCCCTGTGGTGAACTCCAAACCTTATTTTATTCATTGCATGTCTTTTTCCTGCTGTTCTTCCATGTAGCTCAGCTCTGTGCAGCTTCTAGTGGTCCCATGAACAGATCCTTCCATCTCTGCAGAAGAGCGCTCCATCAGGGTTCTGTTTGGCCTCCTGGACTTTTCTCCGATTAATGTCCTCATTACTCAGTCCACGACTTTAGCTCAGTCTTTGTGCTTTTACCTTCCATTTTCCCGTCCTGATTGCAGTTCAACATAACTCATTGGTTTAATGAGACATCTGTGAGATGTTCAAGGTCCTGGGGGATTTTTATTTTTACAAACAACACCTGATCTGTACATTTCTACAACTTTGTCCTGATCTGTGTGGACAGTTTCTTGGTCTTCATGCTGTCTCTAGCTTGGTGGAAGCCCTTAGAGGCATTGAGCTGGTGCTGATTAGGGTCTATCAGAACAGGTGGATTCATGCAGACACAGACCACTCACAGGTGGATCTTATTGAACTAACTATGAAACGTGTTTGATTTAGCGTCATTAGTCTGGAGTCTTTCTACACATCTTACAACCAAACAGAAAAACTTAATGAAATTCCTGGTTGTAAGGCAATATAAAAACAAAGTGGTGTATATTCTTCAAAGGTCAAACCTAGAGTGGAAGTCAAGTTTTCAAAGGATGACAGAACCTTAGGTATATCGTGTAACAGCTAATGTGAAGTCTGATGTTTTCCATGCTGTTGGTCTAAACTCTTCCAGGTCTCATAATGATCGGCGTCATTGTTGCATCCAGAAAAGTTGGCATCAACCCTGATAATGTAGCCACACCCATTGCTGCTAGCCTCGGAGACCTGATCACCCTGTCCCTGTTGGCAGGCATCTCCACAGGACTCTACAAGGAGCTAGGTATACAGAACCCCATGTACCACCACTCATCACAGCTCACACACAGGCAGCTGTGTGTCTTCAGCACCACTGGGACAAAACTCAAACTTTATAATGTCTCTCATGCATTGAAACCAGGACTTCATTTGAGCCGGATCTTGCCAGAACAAGATCCAGAAACTCTCTTATAAAATGGTAAATGGTAAATGGACTGTATTTATATAGCACCTTTCTATCTTATTTCAAGACACACAAAGCTCTTTACAACAATCTGTGCCTCATTTACCCATTCATACAGCTCTATACTAGATCTCTACAAAGATAATTGAACAAATCATTCTAAAGAGACTAACCAGAGCTGTAGATCACATTCATACACTGATGGGACACACATCAGAGGCAACGAGGGGTTCAGTGTCTTGCCCAGGGACACTTCAGCATGTGACTGCTGGTGGATTTGAACCCCCAACTCTCACATTGGAGGACGACTGCTCTAACCAGTCAGCCACAGCCGCCCATTATCTTGACAGGGTGCGTTCCGGTAACAGTTTGCTTGGATTTGGTAACTCTCAGGCTGACTAATAATAAAGTTATGAACAAATATGACTGTTTTGAATGACTAAAGCCTATATTGGATATGTAATTTGAAAATAATTACATAAACACTAATTTTAAACACAACAGCTAGGTACAAACTTCCTAACATCACATCAGAGCTGCCCCTTCAAGTAATCATTTCTGCTTCTACCATTAAAAAAATCCCTGTCCATAAAAGTTCAGTTATGGGCAATTTAATTAAAAACACACAATATATAATTAAACATTACAGCTAAACTGCAAATCAGTTTAACAGATAAAGTGGGTCATTAATAAAATAGTATTTATTAAAAACACCAGAGAAATGTTTGATAGGTAATCACGTTACATACGTCACATATCAAAACAGCGGCGCCAGTTTGTCAAAATAACAGCAATTAAAATGTGAAAAGACAGTCCAATTTACTTTCATAAAAAATAAAAGTCTTCTCATTGTATAACTAAACAACCAAGAATTGAAGCGCATGAAGGCAGTGGAGAAAGTACTGGAGCAGGTGAGAGAGGTGTGGCCATGCTGACCAGGCTGTCGTACCCAGGCAGGAGGAGCCTGGGGGTTTCACATGTGGAGGAGAACAGCAACGAGGAGGAGAGTGAGTTCAGCAGAGTCAGGCTCGGAACCGTCAAGTGGTGGTGGGTGGGTGTGCTTGAGAGAAGCGGAGCGTGCTCACACCCCATTAAAATACAACAGAATGCAGGAAATGGCATTTGCTTTATTCACAATTTACCCCAACACACCACTATTTGTGTTCCGGCATTGTTTGGTTTACAAATTAAACTCTGATGAGGACCATAACTGTCTCCAAGCAATCCCAGAAGCAAACCATATCAGCCTCCTCCGTTCTTGCCAGACGCTTAGTCCAAGAAGTTAAGAAATGATAGAGTTTAGCTGTTGGTCAGTCTTGACAATAACATAATGTGCAGTGTGCTGAAGTAGACTCAGTCCTCCAGGACTCAGTAAATCAAAAATGTCAGAAAACAAAATAACTGGGCTTGTATTGTGAAGCTGAAGACGATTTGACTCCCGTCCAGGGAATGTCTCGGTTTGAAATGAGAAACTATGGATTATATCCTACACAATAAAAGTTCTGCTGTTTAGTTTTCTAACTTTTTTTACATGCAACATTCCAGGACGGCATGTGTTGTGACTTGACACCTCACCTACTGCCACACTAATTTTTATCTCCATATTTGTAAAATTCTCTGAGGTGGAGTCATTCTTGGGTTATCTGATGTCCATTAACGAGGCAGCCCACTTGACTTGGATAACCCCCAAAAGTGAATCAGTTGTAAATATACACCCAGTTGTTACTTCCCAAATATTTCATTCTAATCTGTTCACAATTCTTCTGCAGCTTCCAAAGCTTTTGTTAGCTTTGAGCAGAAAACGAACAGTGTGTGGAGAACGTGCAAAATGTGCTCCTGGCTGTGTGCACTTAGTAAAGATGAAGGCACTCTCACGTCTCATCTCGTGTTGTTGGGTCAGAAACTGCTGCTCTTTGGTTCTTTTGTGACCTGTGTGAACCACCCTGTTCCACTGAGCTGGTTCCCAGCAGGTCCACACCACAGACAGGCTGGCAGACATCTCCACACTCAGTGGCTCAGTCTGACACCACCTACTCAACAACCTGAACACAACTGGCTTCCAAATTGAGCATATTTCAAATGGATTTTGCTCAGACACACAGACTTACGAATGCTCTGTGGAGTTCTCTGTGGTGTGAGTGGAGTAACGCTGCAACCTACAGGAAGAAACATGAAGTTCTCTACAACCTACAGGAAGAACCAAGAAGTTCTCTACAACCTACAAGAAGAAACATGAAGTTCTCTACAACCTACAGGAAGAAACATGAAGTTCTCTACAACCTACAAGAAGAACCATGAAGTTCTCTGCAAACTAGAGTAAGAAACATGAAGTTCTCTGCAAACTAGAGTAAGTTGCAGAGAACTTTATGGTTCTTCAAATAGGTTGCAGAGAACTTCATGTTTCTTCCTGTAGGTTGTAGAGAACTTCATGGTTCTTCCTGTAAGAAACATGAAGTTCTCTACAACTTACAGAAAGAAACATGAAGTTCTCTGCAACTTACAGGAAGAAACATGAAGTTCTCTGCAACTTACAGGAAGAAACATGGAAGTTCTCTACGACCTACAGAAAGAACCATGAAGTTCTCTACAACCTACAGAAAGAACCATGGAGTGAAGACGAGTCCCACTCTGCATGGAGTCCCATTGTTTTATTACAGCCCACATTTAAAAATAATTATTTTGTTTCCCCTCTCAAAATTTACCCACTTTACTTATGCTGATTTGAAATCTACATTATTCAGGTCTTTAATTTCTTTCTTTCTTTCGGCTGTTCTCATCTATAGGGGTCGCCACAGCAAGCAAACTCGAATAAGAATTTGGCACTTGTTTTCACACCGGATTCTTGACACAAACATAGACCACCGAGCTATCACACCCCTTTGTGTGGTGCAAAGGGCTGTCATCGGGGGAGCAACTGGGGGGTTGAAAGCCTTGCTCAAGGGCCCAGAGTGGAGCAGAAAAGGAAGGCGTGCTTCACCTTTCCCACTCAAATTTTGATGTAACAGTCAGGGAATTTGAACCGGCAACCTTCCGATCACAGGTTTGCTTTCTCTAACCTCTGCACCACCACTCCCCACCTCACTCAGGCCCCTTCTTTTAAAAGTAAAATATTACTGACCAACAGAATGCTAGAAAAATACATTTGATTGGACTGAAGATGGCCGCCACAGCTATGGCGACTGTCTTGAATTTAGGTGACTCCAAAAGTTATTCAGTTCTAGTTGTACATCCAAGGATTACTTCATGAAAGTGTCATTAAAATCTGTCTGTTTCATGAGTTATTTTGCTAACAGAGTTGACTTCAACAGATAATGTCAAATGTTTAGGCAAAGATCTCGCTCAGCGTTTGTGCTCAAAGTTTGTGGTGGGATGAAACGCACATACTGCCACACTAAAGTCTACCTCAGCATCAGTTATTGCCAGGTTTGTGTTTTATAGGGATGATTAGCTGTGGTGTCCATGTTCAATCAGGTGCACTCCAAAAGTAATCCGTTGTAAATGTACATTTAATGATTACTTTCTGAGGTATTCTGCTGACAAAAACACAAACAAGTACGCACAAACATGGTCACAGGCTGACAGGCAAAAACACTATCCCCAGTTTTCACCTTTTGGCCACTGTGGCTGAGTGGTTAGACCAGTTGTTCTCCAATGGGAAAGTTAGGGGTTCAAATCCACTAGCAGTCACATGCTGATGAGCAAGACACTGAACCACTCCTTGCCCCATGTGTGTCCCATCAGTGTATGAATGTGATCTGAAGCACTCATTAATCTTTGTAGAGATATGGCAGAGTTCTGTATGAATGGGTGATGAGGGCACAGATTGAGTTGTAAAGCGCCTTGAGTATCTTTTTTTTTTTTTTTTTTTTTTTTTTTTTTTTAAAGAAAGAGAAGAAAGAAGAATAAATAAATAATAAAAAAGAAGAAGATAAGGCGAGAGACCACCACGACAAAACAACATGCACAATGCCACCCACAATATCACCATGAAACATTCGACATGGCACAAGGAATCATCTAGCTTCCACCACTACCCAACCTAGCGTGCATCTGTCAAAGCACCTGAATCCAAACACCCGCGCAAGCACGCCCACCACCACCAGATTTCTCCAAAAGAATGCCCAATAGTGGACGTGGGGGCCCACAGACCCGCCCCCCCAGGACACAATGGCAACATAGGGAGGACCGGAGCCACAGACACAGAGCGGCCCACAGGCCTGGAGCCCCAAGAGTCTCCCAACAGGGAGAACCGCACCCCCCCAGAGAGGAGCAGAGGAAAGAACCGGGTGACCCCAGCCACCACAATGCAGAGCCTCCAGGAAGCTGCAACGACGAGCCCACAGGCCCGGCCAGCGACCCATGCCCCCCCCAAGTAGATCCGGCCATGGACACCGAGCCCCAAGCCCCGAGGCCATACCACCCCCTAGCAGAGCCCCGACAGAGCCAGGGCACCCAGGCCCCGCCAGGCAGCAACCAGGGCGGACCGACGTGCACCCCACCACCCAGCCCAGACACCGAGAGCCACCAATGCACCGGCGGCAAGGGAGTCCCCCGCCAAAGGGGGGCACGACCGGGGGGAGTGGGCCCCACACCAAACGTGGGGCCCAAATTGATCCAAGAGAGGGGGGACCACCGAAAACCCAACCCGAGCAACCAACAGGCACACACAGATAGCCCGACAGAATCTCTGTCGGGCCAACCGCATGCACCATCTACCTGACAGCGACCACAGGCCGGCCCCAGCCCAAGGGGCAGAGCAGCAGGGAGCCGCAGCCGAGGAGGGCCGGCTCTCACATCAAGAGCTCCGCACCATAGGCCCGGAGACGCCCCAGCACGCCACCCATGCACCCCCCCACACACACAGCACCCCCACTGCAAATGCCACACAGGAAGACCAGCCAGTGCCCGGATGAGGCGAAGCCACGCCCCCAACCGCCGCCCTACACCACCAATGACCACACGTACACTACCATAGCCGACCCCCTGCCGAAAGCCGGCAGCCACCCCGGTCAGAGTGCCGGCCATCGCAACCAGGAACCTAGATTAAAAGAATCGGAACAGCCCAGGAGGAACCGAAGCACCGGCCCCAACACTGACCGCCCCCAAGGCCCAAAGCCCACCCACAGCCCAGACCCCA